AATGGATTTAACTGCTAAAATTTATTTTAACATCACACATTATTTAGTAGTCTGAACTCACCAATATAGTGATTTAGTTGCATTGAAACTGTATCACTTATATGATGTATTTGTTCTACACCAGGTGTCAGAACATCAAATAACTTCAGGAGAGAAAGAGATGACACAGGCCAGTTTTCAGGTTTAAAGTGGTATAAAAACTGAAGTAAATTAAAAAGCTTACAGATGCCTACACAGAACTATCCAGATATAATTTACTTAAAAAGCCTCTGCTCACCAAATTAATCTACAAATTCTGGACAGACTCTTTCATCATTCATTATATTACATGTTTTAAATGCAAATTCACAATATTTATTCCAATTCTTACTCTTTTTACCATAATACAGAAGGAAAATTACCTAATGGGACTAGAAGTAGAATCTGGGTCTCTGGCCATTACGGTACCAATGATTGTGCCCACTTCAATATCTTCATGAACTTCAAACAAATAGGAGGATCTGCTAAAAACAGGGGGTTCATCCACATCTTCAATGGAGATTTTCACAATTGTTGTATCTTTAAATGGTCCGAGGTAGTAGAAACGTGGATCCACGTGGGTATTTTCTGCTTCAACCTTCAGAGTATAAAGCCTTCGGCTCTCATAATCAAGAGGCTATACAAGATAATAATTCATCCAATTAGTGAGAGAAATAAGATTATAATATCCCACTAAGTAACAGTACAGTTTTTAAAGCCTGACTGAATAGTGTGATTACAATGGGAATACTGTCAAGTTGCATGTTGACTATAAATACCAAAAAAAAAGTAACACAAGAGAAACATATTGTCTACATATCAGTTAGGAATAAATATTTTACATATATTTATCAACTATATAATATTTCAGAATAGAGGAAAATGACATTTTGAATGTTGGAAAAATTGTAGAGAATGTTAAAAGCAGTGATGACTCATTAAAAAAATGGATTGGCAGAGTTTGTGTGTATATAGGTGAAAATGTGTGTGTGTGTGTGTGCATTAAGGTTTGGGCTATTGCTACAATTTTTCTAAGCAAAAACATCAGTTTCCTTTTAAAAGCCATGTTACATTTCTGTTCAGTTTGATGGACTCATGGTGTGACATATATAAAATTTTTATGAGTTATATGAAATTTTCAGAAGTTATATGAAACATTCAAGATAAGGAAAATCTTGAATAAAGACAAAAGAGGTGTTTTTGATAGCTACTGGATAACACTGTTATATTTGGCAACAACAACAAAAAGAACTTTAGTATTGGTATAGTTTAACTATCACAAGCAAAAAAAAAAAAAATCAAGTCCCCCACTTTGCACCCATTCTAAAAGACATGTGTTGTTAACAGAGAAAATACTTGTTGAAAGAGACTCCCTTATTGTTGTATGCTGAGAAGGAGAATTCTCAATATTGTATTATTTCCAAGTGATAAAAAAGGAGAAGAAAATTGCTTCCTGCTTCCTCTTTGCTCATCACTGTCCCTTTAATAACAGCTGTATGCCTTTTAATTAGCAATAAAATCCTAGGATAATTTTTGGTGAGTAACCAGGGCCTCAGTGGTTACTTTATCCCAATAGAGTGTGCATGACATTTCAATAAGATCTAAATTTTAACGTGCCTTGGTCTTCTGGCATTACTGTGGTACCGACTCTACTATTTAAAACTGCTTACCTTTAAATGGTTTCACTGAGAATATGCTAGCAGAAAAGTTTAATTTATATAGCAAACGGGAAAATATGAACAATTAAATTATGTTCCAATTCAGGCTGTCTGCTTTTATTAGGCATTCTAGTTATTTCTTCTTACATCTGGAAAGATGGCATATCATTCTTTATGCTTCCAACTAGATGTATCACTATTATTAGCTATTGATTAATTTTATTTTGGAGATTATAATGCTATTTCTGTGGTCCCTTATTAGCATGCCTCAGAAAAACGATGCCACATATATTAACTTGCCCTTGAAAGTTTATAAAACTCTTATGTCATGATTCAACCACCACCACCAACAACAACAACAAAAAAAAAACTGGTCAACATTTCGGAATAGCTCTTTTGTTTTATATGGCTCTTATTTATGCCCAGTATGAACTACATTTGAATATGACCATGGTTTTTTCAGTAGATAATGCATGCATTTATAGTGCAGTAATAAAATTTATAGTATCTGAATACACAAATGCTGATTTAGACTGAAGCTGTGTACCTTTTTCACAGTTATGATCCCTTCCTGTGTGTCCTTCTCAGTTATGATGTCAAACATATCAGTCCCGTCACCATCAATAATTCGGTATTCTACTTCAGCATTTTTCCCTGTGTCGGCATCAGTTGCTTTTACACTTCCAATGGCTGTGCCAACTGGAGAGGATTCAAGAACTCGAAGATGGATGGTGTCTGAAAGGAAAGAAAAGAATACAGATATATAAATATAGGAGAAAGAGAGAGAAATAAAGAGGGGCATGGATAATTAGATTTCTCAACAGAATATTCAAAGATAACTACATATGAGAATATAAATCATAAACCTGACATTAGAGGTCAACTAATTAATACATACAACTAATTAATACATATAATGCTGATAACCTTAGACTGAGTACTAGGGAAAAGTGAAACAGCGCTTAGGTCTGTGGATGCTGTTATGAAAAACGAACACTTACTTTTAATATCATTAAGAATGTTGGCCTTTAAAAAAAGGTCTTTTTTTTTTGCAACTACAGATCAGTTTTGAGTGCAGATATCCATATAATCATAGCAAATCACAGAACAGAGAGTAAAAATTCTATTTACTTGTTTTCATTTTTCTATATTTAGTTACTTACTACTCTTGGTATATTTCACTTGCAGCATAAAATGTTACACCGTCCCATGAAATCAGTTACAGGAGGTAGGAATTCTATTTCTGTTTGTGACAAGAGAAGCATAGGATAGTCTGTGGGAAAAATATGAAGATGTCCTTCACACTATCAGCGTAAAAGCACTAAATTCTGACAAACTCCCCTCCACTCCGCAGGAAACAAGGATTTATCTGAGCTCCTGGTGCATGCACCTACCTCCATGTGCTTCCAGCTCGAACAACCTCTACTGCTAATGGGATTTATGCTTTAGCACTTGATCATAAAGTATGTGTTACCAACAGATTAATCGACCTGAAGCACACTTCAGATTATAGCACCTTCTTGCCTATAAACCTTAAGTAATTCTCCTTAATATACATAATAAAGTGCAGAACTCTTAACCAGACGTGCTTTTGCCCCAGTATATCTTCCCTAATGTATCTCTCTTTAGCCAGTTTCTTGGAAGATTTGCACCAAACTGGATTTTTCAGAGTTTTCTGGTCAAAACTAATTGCCTTCATCTTCCCATATATATTTCCTCATTAAATTTTCCTCACATAAAACTGTTTTCCCAGTACCCTCAATGGTCATCATGCAGTTTATCAAATCTGAGACAATTCCACCTCATCCATTCCATTTCAGAAGTCACTTCCTTGGAGTCATCATGAAATTCTATGTTTCTTCCCTTTGAAGTATGCTTTTTAATCTGTACTATTGATTCTCTTCTTTTCTCTCCATCTATCTCTGGTAACACACTATTGAAAGTACCTCTCAACTCATTCCTTGGCTCCTTTCATCTTGAATCTTCCATTTTGCTGTTTCTTATCTTTGAAGCATTCAATGGCCTTTACATGTATGTGAAGGCTGTGCAAAAAATAGGGAAGAGCAAAGAGGAATTGACGTGTTTGAGTTGTGGTGTTGGTGAAAGCTATTGAAAATACCACGTGCTGCCAGAAGAACAAACAAATCTGTCTTGGAAGAAATACAAGCGGAATGCTCCTAAGAAGTGAGAATGGCCAGACTTCCTGGCACATGCTTTGGTCTTATTGTCAGAAGAGACCAGTCCTTGGAGAAAGGTATCATGTGTGGTAAAGTAGAGGGTCAGCAAGAAAAGGGGAAGACCTCAACAGGGTGGATTGACACAGCTGCTGCAATGATCGATTCAAGCATAGCAAGGAATACGAGGATGGAACAGAACTGGGCAGGTTTTTTTTTTTTTTTTTTTTTAATGTTGTCTATAGAGTCATCATCAGTCACAACCAACTTGATGGAACCTAACAACAGCAACAACAACAACAATCTTTGGAACAGGTTTCCCCCTAGATATTCAGATATCTTGCTCACTCATATGCCTTCAGGTGTTTGCTTGCATTAGTTTCCTAAGATAATAAATAACGGAATACAACAAACTGGGGGATTATAAGATCAGAAATACAGTGTCTCATAGTTCTGGAGGCAACTGATTCAGAAGTTCAAATGAACATGTTTGTTTGAGCCATGTCCCCTCTGAAATCTCTAGGGGAAGATTTTTCTCTTGTCTCTTCCAGATGCTGGTAGACCCAAGTATTCCTTGGCTTGAAGATTCATCTTCACATGGAGTCTTTTGTCTGCCTGTTTCTCCTCCCCCCCCCCTTTTTTTTTTCAAAGGACACCAATCAGATTGGATTAGAACCCACCTTACTCCAGTATGGCCTCATGTTAACTAATAAGATCTGCAAAGAGCCTCTCTTGCAAGAAGATCTCCTTCATAAGTACTGGGAGTTAGAACTTCAGTGAATCATTTTAAAGGCCAGAGTTCGACCAGTATCACTGCCCAGTTGCAACATCAGAAACTTTGCAATGACCTTACTGAAAATCAAAAAAATAAAAAACCCAAGCCCACTGTCATTGAGTCAACTCTGACTCTTAGTGACCGTATGGAACAGAAATAGAACTTTCCCATAGATTTCCAAGCCTAGAAATTTTTATGAAGCAGATTGCTTCATCTTTCTCCAGCAGAGTAGCTAGTGGGTTCAAACAGCCAACATTTTTGTTAGCAGCTGAACGCTTTAACTACTACACAACCAGAGCTCCATTACTAAAAACATTAAACACAAAAATTCCTCATATCACCTACTACAGCCAGGTATTTTAGCAGATATTTATTTGTTTGTAGGTACCATGAGTATGCAATAAAAAGCTCTGCCATAATGTTCTCATTGTGTCCATTTGAGTGTATTGTTATGTAATTGTTAGTTGCCCCCTAGTTGGTTCCAACTCATGGAAACCTTATGTATAATAGGAGCAAATTTTACTTGGTTCTTTGCCATTTTCATGATTGTTGATATGCTTGAGCCAACTGTTGTAGCTATTGTGTCAATTGATCTTATTGAGGGCTTCCATCATTTTCACTGACCTATTGTGCCAACCATGTTCTTTTCCAACAATTGATCTTCTCTGATGACATGTCCAAGTAAGTGAGTCAAAGTCTCACCATCCTCAGTTCTAGGGAATATACTTGTATTCTTTCTAAAATTAATTTATTCATTATCTTGGCAGTCTATGGTTGTTTGGGTTACCATGTGCTGCTCCAACAGAAATCCCACAGGTGAATGGCTTGAAACTCACAGGGATTTATTCTCCTACAATATAGTAGACTAGAAGTTCAAGTTCAAAGTGCCAGCTGGGTGAAAGCCCCTCGACTTTGGCCTTCAGCTCTGTCACTTGCTCTGGTCTATTGGAGTTGGAGGTGTCTCTTAGCTCAGGCAGCTGCTGAGGCTGACAAACCCAAGGTTGACAAATAAAATAGCACAGTCCACAGATTACCAAAGAACATGGCAGGACGCTACTTCAAATCCAGAGAAATACAGTCCTAAGATCAGCAGGAAACATGCTGCTGAATGAAGCATGCTGCTGAATGGACTCATCTAGGTCCAGGGCCCAAGTGTGCTCAGAAAGCTGAGAGATCTTTCTCAAAGCTGTCTTCTTATATCCTGGAAGCAGAGCACATCCCTAAGGCAGCTACTCAGCTTTCTCAGTAGATTCCACCATGAACTTGATTACCAGTCTCATCCTGGGGAATAACTACATCTAACTGCCCAGCCACTCAAAACTAGGCCCAGCCAAGTTGACATATAACTAAACCACCACAATGGTATGCTAAACATTCTTCATAAAGTCTACAGTTCTAATCCACCAATTCTTACTCTGTATTCCTTTTTCATTTTCCAATTCCCACATGCATATGAGATGATTGAAAAGATCTTGACTTGAGTCAGCTGCACCATAGTTATCAATGTGGCATCTTTATTTTATTAATCTTTAAAGAGGTCTTTTGCAGAAATACCCTAAGGACTAGCTCTAAATGCGCTGCTATTGTTGTTAGGTGCCAGTGCACCAGCTCTGACTTACAGACACCATATGTACAACAGAAGGAAACACCGTTCAGTCCTGCACCATGCTTACCATCCTTGCTGTGCTCAAGCCCATCGTGCAGCCACTGTGTTAGTCTGTCTTGTTGGGAAGTCGTCCCACTTTCGGTCGACCCTCTACTTTACCAAGCATGATATCCTTCTGATAACATGACCAAAGTAGGGGAGATGAAGTCTGGGCATTCTTGCTTCTAATGACCCATCTAACTGTACTTCTTCCAGGATAAATTGTTCATTCTTCTAGTAGTCCATGGTATCATTGATATTTTTTGCCAACACCACAATTCAAAATCACAATTCTTTTTCACTCTTCCTTATTTATTGTACAGCTTTCAAAGGTATATGAGGTGACTGAAAATATCATGGCTTTAGTTAAGCATACCTTAGTCTTTGAAGTGACATCTTTGCTTTTATTTTTTATTTTTTATTTTAAATGTTTGTTTTAAATTCATTACATGTACATTTAATTTCACTCCCCATTTACCATGTCCAACCCTAACCCAGTCTCCTCCTCTCCCTACCCAGTAACCTTTCTCTTGTTTGTCCTGTATTTCCTCAATTTGAATGTTGGTCCTCCGGTGCCCCATGGTCGATTGCTCTAAGGAATCTATTACCATAGAGTACATGGGTACATCATCCTGGGTTGAGTGATCTGCTTGTACATGTTGTTAACTACTGAGCTGAGAGCCAGCTCCTGGGGGAGCGTTTTATTCCAGGCACAGAATGTATTCCAGGGCCATAGTATTGTGGGTCTCACAAGATTTCATCTGACTAGTAATTCTGGTTATTGTTGAATTTTTAGATTTTTTTCCACATTTTCCCTCCCACTCTGTCCAGGATCTCCAGATTTGATCCTCTCCTGAGTGGTTGGCATTGGTAGCTGGGCACCATCTAGTTTTTCTGGTCTCCAGGGCCATCGTGTCCTATGACTGATTGCTTCCAAAAACATTATTTATTCATTTATTTTTGCATTCTTCTTCACTTCCAACACTAGAAGACCATTAGCTGCATCTTAGATGGCTGCTTGAAAGCTTTTAAGATCCCAGTCACTACTCTCCAATGTAGGATACAGAACTGGCTTATATGTATTTTATTGTGCCAATTGAGTCTGGCACCCCTCAGTACTATGGTCCTGAGATGGTACATC